TGGGAGTTTGCTCAACTAGTCTACATGTGTTTTGTGGAGCGGCCGGGATGCTGATCAGCACCTACAAGTCTGTGGTCATGGGTGATTCTGGGGAGGTGCTTTGGACATGTCCAACTGAGAGGAGACCCTGGGGCACACCCAAGACATGCTGGGAAGATTATGCCTCTTGGCTGGTCTGGGAACATCTCGGTGTTCTCCCAGTGGACCTGCAGGAGGTGACTGGGGAAACAGAGGTCTGCACATTTGGGATGGCTGACACCACGACCCCGACCTGGATAAATGGTGGAGAATGAATGGAAGTTTGCCAGCTCTGTGACAGGGACAGATGGATTTCTATTAGAGTTCATAAAGTCACCTATGAGACCCCCTTTCAGAGACCATGATCTCTCATCATAAGTGTGTTTTCCCCCCTCAGAATGCCCCCCCTCTGATGTGACCTATGCTGCTGTGGTGCCAAAGAAGAATCGGATCTCTTAAAGTCCTTCTTTAAGTCTGTGTGCTGCCTGTGATGCCCTCAGAAAACAGGAAGTGTATCTGAAGGCGACGCCATTTGTAGTTATTTGTGTTCTTCCCCATCTAATAAGCTGGATAACCCCCCCCCCCAGGCGGCCTGGGTACTTCTTAAAATGTGTAGTTTTATCAGACCTTTTTGTCTAAGGAACTGATTGAGTTGTTTGTTTGTCTTGGTATGAGGAAAAATAATATTTCTTTCAGTTACTAAACTACAGTGAATTGCATGTTATTTGCTAATGCTTCCTGTTAAAACCGAGAATGCACAAAGCATTATGGGTAATGAGAAAGGAGAGTATCTCTGGCATTCAGTCTCACCAATACAGCAAACCTGAAGGCTAGGAGCGGGAAAAAATGAATGAAGGCATGTTACTTTTTAGCCGCGCCCACATTTGATTGAAAATTATGATAGCCTCCTTCAATTAAACTTTCAACGTAGCACTCTGCATGTGGCAAATTGAAGTTTTGCTTTTTGGAAGTTTCTGTTTTTGCATTTTATTTCTGTTTTAAAACAGATTAGTCAGTTAGGCTTGGTGAGGCTCGCCATGGCAACAGGACTAGTGGGACAGTGTAGTCCTTCCTGTGACCCAATGTCTGTTTCCTGTGCCTTTTTTTTCTCTTTTGAAGCTGATGCAGAAGATGGTAATATATTATTCTTGAAACCAGTAATGTAAAATTGTCATGGAATTACATGAATGTTTGATTGCGTGTTATTTATTATGATATATATATGAATAATAGACTTTCCAGTGTTTCTCCTGTTATGTTATCTGTGCTATATTATGCTACCTAAAGTTATTTTTGTATGCTGAATGTCGAGTGTTTTCAATGGGAACCGCTGTTTTCTTGCACCTCCAGCTTTAGAGGTGCAGTTTGCATGTATCCTGTGTCTCCTGTGTAGATGTAGATTTCCGTCTCGTTAATTACTTCACTTCACTTAACAGTGTCACTGATGGATCTAATTCAGGTTTTCTGTGGAGTGTGATTTTGTGCTGCTGTTCTGATGGACTCTCAGTAGCCATTGCTGATATTCTGCTCTGTGCAAGTTTGCTATACTCTCTTTATCTGCTTGTTTGTGGCCTGCTGCCTGCTAAAAAAAAAAACTTCAGGCCTTGCCTTCCTCCTTTGACCCCCATCAATAAGATGTTTCCACCCACAGGATTCACAGTCAGTGGGGGTGTATCACTGTGTTTGTAATAAACCACAGAGAACATTTTGTGCAGAATGTTGACCATGGCGGCCATTTCTGAAATGCTGCAGTCAGAGGGCCAGGCACTAAGCTTAGCTTCACACTGACATTTTGTCTCTTTTAGGTAATTTTGTTCCCATTTTGTTAATGTGTGCATGTCCTTGTAATGTCTCTGTGGCAGCAGAGGGACAGAATGTGAAATTGATGGGTACCAGTGATGTCAGAGCAGCAGAAAGAGACCAGGAAGAGAGNAAATACCCTCCCACCCAATACCCCATCAGCAACAAAAAGTACAGTAGTGATTTGATATTTTCTGTGTAATAGTCACTCTTATTGTAAAAAAGGTTGGGCACTGCTGACCTGTAGGTTAGCAAGAAACCGATTATGCAAAGGTGCAAATTGCCAGCAACACAGTTACAACCTCACAACACCATCGACTCACTGAGGCTTGAAACAACTGCATTCAAACAACTACTAAATCATTGCATAACACCTGTTAGCTAGGCAGGTAAAACACTTAAAACACAATTTACCTAAATTACAGAAGTAATCTCTTTTCTAAAGTGACATAAACTCCCCCCTCCCAAACTCCGCCCATGAGCACGAGTCACAATTGTCAACAAAAGTGGGGGTGGACAGGGCACAGCTCTCGGCGCCCTGTGGCAAATCTGAAGGAACCAATTAGAGAGCAGCCTCATGTCACCTGCTTGGCAAAAGATGAAGAACTTGCATAGACTCTCATTTGTTTGGAGAAGGGTCTGGCTGTATAATACTGGGCATCCTCCCCTTGGGGGACATCCATGTCAGGCCTGGACATGATGGTACTGAAGCGAGTTCAGAAAGCTGAACATGGTGATAGATAGTACCTTGTCTCCTTTAAAATTATGAAGACAGATATTTCTCATAACATCTTAAGTTACATCAAGGTGAGAATTTCACAAAATGGGAAATTTAAAATAGACTACTAAGGTCTGTTCCCATAGATTTCAATGAGATTATTAAATGTAATATTGTATAATTCCCAATCTTGCACTAATATCGCAATATCAAAGAAACAGAAAATACATATTTTAAAAGAGACAATTAAAGTCAATTGCCGATGCTGCATTAACGTCATGTCCAATACTATTGTGGAGGTTATGTGATTTCGAGCCTCCTAGTGGAGTTACCACCTCCGTTCCTGAACTTTGAAGGTCTTGTCTGGGCCTGGTGTGGAGGTCAAGTTTCTGTATTCACACAGAAATTAACCAAATACTTTTTGGAACCAGTTTGTGATAAATCCTTTGTTACTTTCCTGGTCCATTTAAAAATCTCAAGCACAGTATTTTACCTGCAAAATATGCTAATATCCTCCATTGTGGAATCAGTACAGCCTTTTTTTCAGAGATATATTTTCACACAACTTTGG